GTTTGTCAATTTTATTTAATCTTTCAAAGAACCAACTCTTTGATTCATTGCTTCTTTGTATTGTTTTCTTGTCTCCATTCCATTGATTTCTGCTCTGATCTTCATAATTTTTTCCTTTATATGAGCTTTGGGCTTGACTTGCTTTTCATTTTCTTTTTTTTTCTAAAAGTTTGAATTTCAACCTTATGTGGTTTATTTGAGCTTGCTCTGTTTTCTGATATGGGAATACACCACTATAAATTTCCATTGTAGGATGGCTTTCATTGTGTTCTGGTATGTTGTATTGGCATTACCATTTAATTGTAGAAACTATCCAATTTCTTTTTTAATTTCATCTGTGACCCTTTGGTTATTCAGAAGGGTGTTATTCAATTTCCGTGTGTTTATGAAGTTTTTGTGGCTTCTTTTGACATTGATTTCCATTTTCACTGCACTATAGTCTGATAATATGCATGGGATAATTTCAATTCCTTTGCAATTACTTTAAGCATGGTCTATGAGCTAGTACATGGCCTACTTTGGGCAATGTCTCATGTGAAGCTGAGAAGAATATGTACTTTGATGTTGTGGGGTGGGACACTCTGTAGATATTTCCTAAGTCCACTTGTTCAAAAGTTTGGTTCAGTTCTGATATTTCTTTGTTGAATTTTTTGTCTGGTTGGTGTGTCTATTTGTGACAGTGAGCTATCGAGGTCTTCCTTTACAATTGTATTAGTGTTTATTTGATTTTTCATGACTGTTAATATTTGTTTTATATAGTTGCATGCACTGGTATTTGGTGCATATGTATTTAGATTGTCATCTCTTCCTCTGGATTGTTCCCTTTATGAGGATGTACTGGCCTTTCTTTTGTCCCTTCTGATCAACCTTGACTTGAAATCCACTTTGTTTACAAATAGAATAGCTACCTCTGCTTTTTTCTGGCTTCATTTCTTGTGAAGCATTGTTTTCCATCCTTTGACTTTCAGTCCATGATTTTCTTTTTGGATTAAATGTGCCCTTCTATGTAGCATATTGTTGGATCTTGCTTCTTGATCCATTCTGCCAGTCTGTTTCTTTTGATTGGTGAGGCGAACACATTTACATTGATGGTTATAACTGATATGTACTGATTTATCCTTGTCATATTATTTTCCTTTTGTTAGTTCTCCTTATTTTCCTCCCTCTGTTTACTTGTCTGGTGAATTCACTCTGTTGGGGTTCGTGGAGTTACAGTCATCATCTCTTTCTAGAATGTTCTTCAGAATATTTTGCAGTGCTGGTTTGGTGGTCATGCATTTCTTCACACTCTCATTATAGAGGTATCTTATTTCTTGATCATTTTTGAAAGATAGCTTTGTGAGGTACATCTTTGTATCCTCCTGCCTCAGCCTCCCACTCAGTCTGCATTTGTCTGATTTCTGTGATTCAATTGGTTCAAAACCTGGGTGGGTCAGGGACTCCTTCAAATCTCAACAGCTCTGGGCTAGTACTTGGGTTGGGTAGGAGCAATTCTGGGTGCAAGGGCCAGGGACAATGTGTTGGTAGTTCCTTGGCTGGTCCTTTACCCAGTTGGCATGGAGCATATCCTATATTCTTTCCTCCCCCATCTATGTGTCAGGATGACCCAGGGCTCCCTCGCTTCCCAGAGGCATAGCCTCTGCTACTGCTATTTAGGTGCAGTGGCTGAAGATCTTCTTTCCCATCCCCATCCTCTCCCACCAGTCTTATGAAGGATGTGGTGTGGTAGGGACAGGGTGTGAACAGGGCCCGGGAATGGAGACCGGGAAGACCCTGCTTTGTGGAGTGCTCTCTGGAGCCCGATGCAGTGCCTTTCTCCAAACTGGTGTGCCAGAGATTCAGGTTTTATCAGGAGGAATTCATCCTAGGAAGTTCCCAGAAAGTACCAAACAAGACAGCAAGAGCCAAATCCATTAACTCAGCTTTTTATGTGCGCGTGTGCATATGATGTGTGCATACAGCCTTCAGTGTATGATGTGCATTCAGTGGACTGCACTTTGCATGTTAACTTCTGTTCTTTTCCTAGGTCAAGGCTACATAGTGTAATACTTTGTCAAATGCTAAGCGGCAGCAACAAGCCACATTTCTCAATGAGGCATCTGATCATGAGACGCTACTGTGTATTAAATGTGGGATAGTTAAATACATTTATTTGGGATTTAGCTCAGTGGTGCTGTTGCCTGCCTGGCAAACGCAAGGTCCCAAGTTCAATCCCCAGTACAAACAGAGACAAACAAAAAAACAAAAAACAAACAAAAAACCCACCAGAAAAAAAAATATTTATTTATTTTTTAATAATCATTAATTTTTGAAAACAGATTCTCGCCATCTGTCTCAGGCTGGCCTTGAACTTGCAATCCTCCTATCTTAGCCTTTGGAGTGCTGGGACTACAGGTGTGAGCTGCCACGCTTGGCTTAAATGCACTTTAAAAAAATAGTGTTAGGGTTTATGTCTGGAGACTCCCCAACAAAACCCAAATGATCACAAGCAGGGCTTTTAGGAGACTGGGTCTTGGAGGCTCATGGGTGGATTAGTCAACTCGTGAGTTCCGGAGAGGTGGCGGCTGTGGGCATGGCCTGAGGAGGCTCTGGCTCTCTCCCAAGCTCCGCTTCTCTGTTTCCTGGCTTCACACGGTGAGCAGCTCTTGTCCACTCTGCCCCTCTGCCATACCTTCCTGCTTTGGAGCCAGCTGACTGTGGACTGAAATGTGAGCCAAAGTAAATCTCTCTTTTTCGTTCTGGCTGTAGAGTAGTTTGTGAAGAGAAAAGTGATTAAGAAAGGTAGGGCTTAGCTATCTGTCCTGGGCCTTGAACTTAGAATCCTCCTGCCTCAGTGTCCTGAGTGCTGCGATTACAGATGTGCACCATCATGCTTGGCTAAATGCGTTTTTGACTTGGGATATTTTGAATTTATGATTTATTAGGACATACCCCATTGTAAGTCAGAGTATCTACTTATCTATTTGTAAGTTATTTATATTTATATTCTCATGCCTACAATATGTATGTCATCTGCATGTATACAATGTGAATTATATAAATGTACAAAAATGCTATATATGTAACACTCATATATTTTTATTATAGGCTTTAATACTGCAGAGGGATATGCACATGCATAAAGAAGTGTGTCTGTATACATATATTTGCTACATATAATAGAATACTTGTGCTCAGTAGCCTTTAAATTTCAAAGTCAAAATGAGAAGGGACCATTTCCATATTTGTCCTGTCTTCAAAGTTATTTCTTTGAATAAAACCCTCTCTTCCAACTAGGGCCATTATTATTATTATTATTATTATTATTATTATTATTAATTATTATTTTTCAGACAGGGTCTTACTATGGAACGCTGGCTGGTTTTGAACTCCGAGCAGCCCTCCTACCTGAGCCTCCTGTGTGCTGGGATTATAGGGGTGCATCACCATGTTCCCTGCTTAGGGATTTAATTTCTTTGTGAAGAGAGTGTATGGAAAGCAAGAAATTAAGGAGTTGGGTCCTTTTCCTGACCAAGTCCCTGGCTTCATGACCTGGAGCACCTCTCTTTCTTCCTCTGCCAGGGGGCACCTGTGTGCCAGGTAGGAAGCGGATGTGCCAGGTGGGCCCCTCTGTGAGCGTGTGCCCTGATTAAGCGCACCCAGTATATGGTGAGCATGCACAACGTGCTTGGCACCTGCTGGGTGCACAGCAGTGGACCAGCCACCTGCCCTTCACAGGTGTTTGACTTCCAGCAAGAGAGGGCCGCTGCAGGCAGGGTGTGGGGGGGCTGTTCCCTAAGGGTGCGGCAGGCCAAGTGCTATGGAATTTTGATAAACTGGAGCTGATCTCTCCAAGTTTCTGTTCAAGTCATCAAACATTTACTAAATTCCTCCTGAGGACGACGGCTCTGTGTGGTTTACGTGTGGTCCCCTTACCTTGCCCATCCCAGGGAAGGCATGAGAAATATTTATCGACTTCATTGGCACCCAATGCAAAACACTGGGCTTGAGGTGAGCCCGGGGAGAGAGACGTGTTTAGGGAAGTTGTGCTCATCCCAACACAGTGTGTCTTAATGACTTTTCTTACTGCTGAGACAAAATACCTGTCACCCAAAACTAAAAGGGCAAAGGTTTATTTAGCTCACAGTTTGCAGAGGTTTCTAGTCCATAACTGGCTGGCTCCAAGGCAGGGTGGCATCGCAGAGAAGAAACAGTTCATGGTGCTCACAGGGTTGCAAAAACAACAAGGGAACCTTAACAACGTCTTTCTGCCCCTTTTATTTTATCCAGACTACTGGGATTAGGGCGGTGCCAGACCAATCAGTGTACTAGTTTAGTAATCGATCACTGCAGATTCAGCCACCTCTGAAAAAACCACCCATGACTGCATGAGGCTTGGACACCTAGACATGAGCCATAACACAGTGTGATCAAAATAAGTGGTGAATATTTAAATTTTAAAAATGTACAGTAAAAGATACATTGCTACAAATTGTCTTCACAATACCCGACCTTGCTTTGGACACTTACCCTATCCTTCTTTCACTTTCTGGAGCAGTTCTGGAAATTGTCTTTCATGAGTATTCTTTATAAGGTATGATAAAAATACAGTGGATGCTGCAGCCAAGGGCCATCCAACAGAAAGTCAGGCTCACAGAAGCATTACAGTGTGTCCTCGTTCACCCTAACCAGCTGATCTGCCACCAGGCGGCCTCTGGCTCTTCTCCAAAGTCAAAATGACCATGAAAGGTAAATGTTTTGTATCAGCTCAGGACATCACAGGGCAACTAATGACACACATGAAATAGGACTTCCAGAACTGCTTTGGAAAGTAGAAAGAATGATGAGGTAAGGGTGTTCAAAGTGGAGCATTTGGAGGGGTTCTAATGGCAAAACATATTTCATTGTAATAAATTTCGTTAAACATTTTTAGGCATTCACCATATTTTTGATCAAACCTTCTACATTGGATTTTCTAAGTATTTACCTTGACCCTTTGAACTTTCTTGTTTTTTTCTTAGGTGTTACTCCTGGGAGCCCCTTCTCCTTCTCCAAAACCAGTCAGAAGGCGTGGTCTCGTAGAATACAGCATTTACAAGCTTGCCTTCCCTCAGGTGAGCTGCAGTGTCGGCACAAACACACAAACAGGGAGGCAGGCGCATTCCCACTGGCCTTAGGGCGGGAAAGAATGTTGTTAAAGTGTAGGGTGCCAAGAGAGCAGCTGTGCGCTCTCCTTCAACTGCTGCCACTCGTTGGTGGCACTCTCAAAGGAGAAGGCAAAATGGCTCCTGTACTTGAGCTTTGAGCTATGGTCATTACTACTACTATTATTAATAATCAGAACCACTCAGTCAATGCTCATGTCAAAACTCCAAGGTGGGAATTACTGTG